AAACGATTTCCATAAATCCTGGTTAAAACCTTTTGCGTCGCATTGAACTTAGTGCCATTTATGTCAAAGGATCCGTGAACCCTTCAGTAATTTTTTTGAAACACTACTTCGTGGAGATCTCCATAGCCCATAAGCCTGGAGCAGCACTTCCACATCTTTTCGTCTACGTCTACCTGCCTAACAGTCAAGAATGAAAGCCATTTGTTTTACTTCTGGCCAAGCTCATTGTGATTTATAGTCAGCACGTTTTGTTGTGCAAAATGCGATGCATCAGCTTGGCTCTCTACTTTTCGATAAGGTGCAAGACTTCCCACGATACGACGTGTTCAGCGTTAAGGAGCCGATAGAGACTGCTAGGCAATTTGGTACTTCGGATGAACTTAGCATGACTGCTCTGGGAGAACTTTATGCTCATTTCGATTTGTACACTGGTGCTTCTGCCACTTTGCCGATCACTCATTTGCGACAGAAGACTTCTGTTAGCTGCAGATTGCGCTACTCTTGTTCTGCCCTTTACGCTGCAACAGTTGCAAAAAACGCCCATTGTTTTTTGCTTATTTGCACTTAAATGCCATATTTCTTGCATGTTTCGCGAATTATCGAATTCAGAAAGATACCAGAGAAACCGTGCGGAGTTGTGAAGAATAGCAAAAGCATCGATGCTCGAAAGAACTAGAGCGTCGACAAAATTAAAGCATCCATACTAATTTGTTCAATACTGTTCCAAATACCTGTGTTGAGTTGCCCAAACTAGTAAAGTTGTGCCATTTGCAGAGCATGAGCGTGAAAGCTTTCGACGTGAGTTATTCGTCACCAGATGATATCAGTTTCAAAAAGAATTCATTTTGAATTTCAGAAAAAGATCGAATAATGAAATCCGCTGTTGTGTGCGCACTTTTACTCATCATGGCTATTGGTTTGAATGAAGCGGGCCAATTCCCGTTTAAGTACCCAAAATGTGGCAATTTACGTAAGTATTCTAAAAAAAAGTTATTCCTTAAACAATCGCCCTAACTTCAAACGTGCGAGTGTTGAATCGATTGAGTTTCTACAAAATTAGCTATGGCCATTTTGTGGAACACGTTTAAGCCTAGTGAAGCCGACTCCATGAAAAGCTCATTGTCTGTTAAGGCAGCTTTTCAGCCTTTCTCTCTTACAATCTTCATCGGAATGCTGCACAGTAGCTTTGTTTTCTCCCGAAAACGATTTTGGAATAAATTTGAATCGAAATTTTGACTGCGTAGTTTTTAATCAGTATTGGTCCGCAAAATCAAAATAAACTAGCATTTCTCCTTGTATCCATACCTCAGGTGTAAGTTTAAACGAAGTTTATAATTTGAGAATTAAAAAAATCTACGAATTGTAAATTTGTGATATTAGTTGCCAAAAAAATTGAAGTAAATAATCATAAGTCCCCAGTCCTTGCTATATTTTAATGTTTAACTTCGGATTTAAGTGAGAGCTGAAATTGTGTTTTAGTGAAGGACAAGAGGCAGTTTGGATAATAGCTGAAATCAACTTTTGAAGGATACTCTTTCTCTGACTGTGGCTGCACCTCTAACACCGAAGCTTCAGGGCAAGGAGGCTATAAATCCGAGATTTTACTGCTTTTTATCTGTAGGTTATTTTTACGAATTTCAGCGCACATTCCTCCCACCTTCAGATCGCAGGAGGTTGTCTTAAGCTAGTTTGTCAAAAATTTTCGTTCTATAAAATAGAAAATTTGTTATGCATAATTTTTAGTGGGAAAGTACTGCCAGGACTACAAAGCGAGTTGCGATGAAATGATAAAAAGTGACGTAAAGGTGAATCCCAGTGATATAGCAAATCTAATGCAGAATTGTGGTGAATTCTGTGGCCTTTGCGTAAAAGCATGAAGCAACTTCGGTCAGTTTCTTTTTCACATTTCTTTTATTTAAGAGTGGCACAACTATGGAATTTTTTTTTCATACCAAACTAACAGGAAGAAACAATTCAGATGATCTTTGGAGAGACGGTCTCAGCATTACTAAGTGCCCCGCCATTCATGTTTTGAGCGATTTCATCAACACGGGCAATCAGAAGTGACAATAGAAATAGTAGCGATCCCACCCATGCCACCATTTCAGATAACAGGAGTTTGTTTCCCGGGGTTTTAACTTCGTACGGTGTTCAGCGCACAGTGGCAAGGAACTGTGTGCTTTTAATACACTGATTCCTGCTGCGAGCAGTAAACAGCATATGGAATTCAGCACACAGTTCCAGTACTGCTGATCTTCAAGAAAGCAGATCAGGTCAGGAGGTCGTCAAGTTTTGCAAAGAGCCAAAAAGTTCATTAAAAACTAAGCAATAAGTAAGAATTCGGGAACCTGTTTTTCCCGTTTAGAAATTCAAATTTTAATGTGCTGTAACTACGCAAAATATACCGAACATGTTTTATTTTGAAGGAAGCAAATTTAAGGAAAAGCAGCGGTAATTTGCAAATCCGAGAAGGAGGAGATACCTCCTACTTTCGTTTGTTTTAAATATAGCTCTTACACTTGTGACTGTCGACAGCAAGCGCTACTTTTAATAAGAAAATGAATGTTGCATTAGATTTCAGGTCAACAAGCGATTGCCTTGTGATGTATTCCTCGTGATTTTTTTGCGTATTCTATTTAATTCGAAATAAAATTTGCAAAATAAAAAAAGTTCTTAAACAAGCACAGTCCGTGTCGTTACTTTTGAATTTCATGTGCGTCTCAGCGCTGGTTAAAATTCACGCTAATGCATGACTCGACTTGGATGAAAACTTTTTCAATTACCGCAGTGGAAGAGGGAAATAGACGGAGGAGAATTTGAACAGACTTCTTCCCCTAGTGTACTCAGTCTCAGTCACTGCCCACTGCCAGATCAATCCACGACGCAGTCTCATTGGCAAAAGCCCTATATTGCACGGCGCCTGCAAAAACATGAGTTTTTGCCGGCCTCTTGCGGACATTACGCAGTTTAAATACTCTTGAATTCCATTCTTTAAGTCACTCAAGTGCTGCCGGATATTGCAGGCACTTAAAGTTCACTTTAAACACGACATAGACGATGACCAGCCAGAAATTAGAGCTGCTTATGTGTAGGTACTGAGTGAGTGAATTTTGAAGCAGCTAATGCTTGGATAAACTGTGCAATACACAACATACTAGGAACGGTCTCAAGATTACAAAAATAGGAAAATTTGCGGTACTCGGGGCAAAAAATGTAAGCGTACTTAAAAACTTTTTCTAAATGCCTAGAGTCACAGAGGAGGTGGTGGCATCATTGCAAAATTTCAGCTTCCTGGTCTGTATAATTTCCAAGACAGAAGATTGCCAACAGTTTAGCAAACTAGAACCCAGGCTGGAATGCACCAGTCTCTCCGGTGCGATTGTGCGATTTTGCACTAAACTCGCAGATCGCTATTAGCAAGAGTGTTCCCTACGCTGTAGCCTAACAATTGGGCTCACATTGGCCATGCTTTGGCCCCTTCCGGCATGCAGGAGGAAGGGTGTCAGTTGGGATGAAGGTGGTGCATTATAAAGCCGCACCGACATCCAGGTGCATGATTACCGGTTTTTTACGTGAAGTCCTGTCCTTTTTTTGGTAGATCCTCATATCCTCATAAACGCACAATTTCAAAATCAGTCTGGCTCGCGAGTTAAAAGGATTTCAGTAGTGTTGCAGCTCGACTTTCACTAACTTACGCCCAAGACTATTAAAGCTGAATTTAAAATCTAGATCAAAAATGGGTAGGAAGCACACTTGTGAATTTTGGCCTCCCAGCTTTTTTCGCTCCGAAATTGTTCTTCATCCATAATTTTTCCACCTTTTCTTTCGAGTCCCCCTCACGTGAGAATTAAGCTCACATAAAAGGTGGTTAACCGTTAGTAGGGTGTTACAAGGAGCAGAAATATCTTTGCGCTATTTCAGCTTTCTAGCTTGTCTAGCTGCTGAATTGAAAGTGGGTGACAAAATCTGAACAGACGCACACACATCGATAACCATTGTCAGTGTGTTTTTCATTTGTGATGCAAAAACACACAGTCAACTAGGCTGACCACTTCCGTCAGTTTATCCACAAATCTGGCCTCAACGAGTCGTCTTTTCCCGAGAAGCACTGGTTCCTTTAAGAAATCAACTTTCCGGGTAGACGTAATCGCACGGCTTCCTGTTTTAACTCTTCTTTAGCAAAGTAGTGGCCTTGGTACCGCATGTGAAGCTGTTTTTTATGCCGGTGAATCGAAGGACCTATCAGATGTCTAGTGCTGAGCAAATGATGGTGAGAGACTTTATTTTGGACTATAACTGAGTGGGAGGACGGAACGCAAGAACCACAGGGGTAGGTGCGGAAACAGATCAATCGGGATAATGAAGACGAGCGGTTGCTGTACGAGACGTAACAGGACTGAACAGCATACGGACCTCAAAAACTGTGTGACTGCTAAACGAAAGTTCGTTTAACCATTTTTTATTTTTGTTCGTAAATTTATTATATTTTACTATTTGCAGAACAGAAGCCAGTAAACTTTTAATTTCGAATTAAACGTTTCATCCAACCACCTCAAGCATGGATCTTTTAAAACTAGTCAAGCAACAATTCCTGATTGTTGCGCCAGAAGGTAAAATTAGTAAATAAAACAAATTCCATAGGCTGACCAAATTCCCCTGACATATCAGATTAAAGCAAAGAATCGATTTTTTGCTTAGCTAAACATACTGGGAAGACAAAAGTCACTGACAACAGCTGCTGTTGAAAATTCTAACAAATATTCAGCTTAGCGGAAGCAGCAGCAAAAGTGAGTGAGACAAATGAGGAAGTGCTATCTCCTTTCCTGTGAAAACATCGACAACGACGGTCACGGGCAAGAAGTTCAACGTGTAACGAAAGCGCACAGCATAAATGAGATCTGTTACTATCAGCATCCTCAAAAAACAATCTGCACATGGTAGTTATTGGGAAAAGCTTGTCCAGAATGTGGGACGGTTGCGTTATCGTTCACTCATCATCTTCACAAACTCTTCGTAGTCAATTTCACCATCACCTGAAACAAACTCAAATAAGAAATATGCAGTAACAGCCTTGGCGATTAAACAGCTGCTTGCCAAGGAAATCCTTGTAACTGTGCACTACCAGAATTTTCTATGAAGTGTAATCTTTGGCAGTTTTTGACTGAAACCGCGGGGCCAAATTTTATTATTAGGCGCTATGTTCACTGTTATGTACAATTGGTGCAAAACGTGGTTACCGACAAAAGATGAAAACTGAGTTCCGGTTGTAATAGATAATGCGATGGAGCGAAAAATGCTTAGCTTATCTCTCTAACGACCAGATGAAGAACCGAATACTCCTTCCTCTCGTCAGATGAACGGTATGTAGGCCGAAAGTAAAATTCGATAAACAAGAGATGTTGCTCGTTTTGCTAACAACCGCTAGACGCTGCATATCAGTGAGTAGTGCTTTCGAGAAAGTAAATTATCAGTAGAGAGATAATTTGAGGAGGTGGCGCACATACACAGAATAGGTGATGGATACTAAGTGGAGATATGCATCCTAGGATCGAAGGGCTAGCATAATTGCGCGTGATGAGTGGGAGCGTATCAGTAGCATAGCGTGGTATTTCACGTCCGGGTTTTATCTTTTTTCGTATTTTTATGCGTTTTTTGCAGCTATGCAATGCAAAAACGCATATTGTCGAGGGGTTGTCTGTGTGTGTGTCTGTGTGTATGTATGTGTGTGTGTGTCTGTGTGTGCGTCTGTAAC